AACAGAGATAGTTGTGCAGAAAAGATACCACCAATCCAGGACTGCTGGTTATTCATCTTGTTTAGACATAGAACACAGGATTTCATTTAGAGTCCACTGTCTCAGACATTTGGACCTGCCTTTGTTGAGTAAGGAATTATTGACCAGAACACATAAGTGCTGAGCAGTTCTTTACAAAACGTGCTCTGAATTTTATATTCCCCCTACTCTGACCCCAGAGATGGGGAGAACTATTTCTGGCAGAATAACCTCTCTGAGGCCAGACAGCATTCCTGACACTATAAACTCATTCTGGCCTGCTGAACCCTACCTTTCAACCTGTTTCAGTCCAAGAATTATTATTATTATGACTGTTCATTCATAGTGAAACCATTAACATCTTCTGTGCTGGCATTATGACTGTGTTTGTAGCACTTCCTTTAATCTCAGAATACTTTGAGTTCAAAAGGATAGCGGCAATAAGAAAGAGTTCTCAAATGTTCAGGGGAATCCAAAAAGGAATGGAAATGCACAGATCATAGAATGACCCTTCAGAGATGGTGCGGAGTCCCCAGAAACCCAGTGACAAATGATTTTCTGTTGCCCAATTCACTCTGCATTAGTAAGAGGTGCTGTGCTATACAGTACCAGCTATGAATGTGCATGCATGAAAAAAAAAAAAAAGAAAAAAAAAGTTATAGGCAGTTTGGGTGGACTTCTTCTATCCAAATATGGATAATCTTTTTTTCTGTGAGTTTATACTCTAAAAATTACACCTAATCCCAGCATATTTCATCCCTCCCAGGAAAGCAACCTCAGCCCAGAGTACTTCAGAAGCCTTTATTTTATATTACTGCTACAATTTCATGGATAATCCCAGCCAACATTAAAGTCATGCTTTGTCAGCTGTCATATAAATGTTAAAGTTAAGTGCACTGCAGTATTTCTGTCCTTCAAGAAAGTCCTGGCTTTCCTGAAGTTGTTTTATTCCAAAAATGAAATAGGGGACATTTTGAACCTTTTCACAGAACATTAATTCTAAAAAGCTTGCTTTTACTCAAAACAAAATATTTTATTAATACTGAAGATGTAACATTGCATTTCAGTTCAGTAAAGCTAGTTGCAATGCCAGTTTTCACATCAAGTGAGAATTTAACTGTTCCTTTGTTGGTATATTCTGAAAATCCAAATGCCTCTTTCTCCCCCCTGAGTCAAGTTCATGCCCCGGTGATTCACCCACTCTCCTGTTTTACATGTACTTGGTTTTCAGGTGGAGAAAAGCACTTTCATTTCCAGAGAAAGGGAATGACCCAGTGGGGAGACCATTTCCGATCTGAGGTAGAAATGCAGCTTAATATGTTGTCAAAGATGATTTGAAACAGACCTCTCTGTGCCAGCTGATAAAATTGAAATGTTCTGCCTTGAGCTGAGGCACCTCAGGTTGGAAGTTGACATTTTAACTTTTTCCCATGAAAAACACATTTCTTAGGACAAAGTAAAGAGGAAGAGGAGAGAGAGAAAGAAATGTCAATATTTGAATCCTGCACTGAAGCATTTATAGAAGTATCGATATGAGATGACACAATGGTGTATGTGACCCCAGAGTCAGAACCAAGAGGACAGGGTAGGGCTCCTGGGCATGACCTGGCTGATGCCCAGTGGTTTGGCTTCAATTCCCCAGCTCCTGCAGTAGACTGCCAGGCATCTCAGTCATGGCTTGCAGAAATTCATCTAACCGCATCATGATGTGCACAACCTGTGGTCACTACAAAGTAGTTGTATGTTTAGCTTCTCAGTCTGCCCTTTGTACTGAGTGACAAAAAGGATGAGGTGCATGGTAAGCAGATATCCTTGTTTGATTTATCTTAAGCCGATAACTTATTCCACTTATGCTATAGCATCAAGGTTTAAAAAAGAGATGACCCAGCTGACCTCCAGTGACATCCACCCAGCCCCTCTCCCTGTTGGCTCTTGTCAAAGTCCTGCCCGTCAAGCACTTGCAGAATTTCAGCCTCGGCAATCTCAGTATCACAGGCAGCAAGAGTTTGTATACAAAGCTGTCACCACCCTCATGAGTGGGTGGATTTTCCAGCTCATCTGTAACCTGAGTGGCACTTCAGCCCTGGGATCTTTCTTCCTAGTGTCAACAGCACGCAGCGCTGTGCTATCCCGTTACACATTATCTTCGATCAAGTTGATGGGCAGAAGGGAACAGAGCCAGGAGTAATTGTGACAGGCTGGGTGTTTTTACAGGCACAATAGTTAATGGGCTGGTTAATGTAAAGGATTAGCCCCTTCATCCCCAGGACATATGAGAGGGGAGGAAGGGGGTGGTGCTACTCAGAAAACCCTAGTAAGAATTGCCGTGATCAGCTTGTAATGAGATAGAAGCAAATCAGAACAATCCTTAGTAATATCTTTTTGTTGACACAAGGGCAGGTATTCTGGGTCCCTGATGCTCACGGATACACAGCACCCGGCTTGAAAACCAGAATCTTGCTGTCTCTTCCCTGAAGCACAACTCACAAATGGCAACACAGATGCTCTCTGCCTTCAGCCAGGGAATGAGAGGGAGGGAAGGGGAAAGCTCTCAGCTGCACTGTGAGGAAATCAGGTCTCCTCTCCTGAAAACTCCTCTGGGCAGGCATTGCAGAGCGTTATGTCTCTGTCAGGGGGTTCAATAAGCAGTTGCCCAGAGGTATCGCTGCATTCTGGAGCTGTCTGTGTGTACAGTGGACATTTGCCACATTGCCTAAGTCGGCAAAGCCCGCAGAGCCGACCCTGAGGCTCCAGTCTCTCCCTGCTGTATCCAACGTATATTACAGCAGCATTATCCAGAGGAGTCCATCAAGTGCTATTGTATCACCACTAAGTGCCCAAGCTTAGAGGATTTATGACCATATGCTCACATGGCTTATGCATGGTGAAGTTTAGAAACCCTTCTCCCAAATTCTTCAGGCATGCTCAAACCTCCTGCCTGACGGCTGGATCGTCTTACAGTACAAAGACTGTCCCATCGAGACACTCTCCAGAAAAGCTGCTAAGCATCAGAAGTAAAGGGACCGCAGTCGGCAGGAATCTGGGAGGAGTTTGGGCTGGCTTGATAACATCCCAGTGAGGAAGGTAAATCACAAGTAGTTAGAAAGCTGGGGCAACAGGACGAGACTGTTCTCCCTTGTGTCGTTAACCCAGGGAGATGTAAATTTTTCTGTGGCCAAATAGTTTCCAAGTCTGTTTTAGCATACCATCATTTGGGTTTTGCATCAGGCTACAGGGATTTTGGCCATGTCCACAGGCCAAATTTCTATCATCTGCATAACAAAGTGATGTTTAGCATCTTCCTCACCATCATAACTTCCAGCTGTGTCACATGATCCCAACTACTCCAAAAAATGTAGTTTGACTTGGTGAAAGTTCATTGAAAAATTTATCTCTTTCCTTCCCTTCTTTCCCAAAATGGCATCCTAATTTCTGCATCAAAAGGCATAGGAAACCAAAATATAACTTCTATTTAGCTGTTTTTCCATTATTTGATACATTTTAACTATTGTTTCATATTCTGATATTTAGGTAAAATGGAAAAAAAAATCTAATAAAAAGTAAGCTTGTGATTTTTCCATCTTTGAGTGACTAATTCCCATGCGTTTCAGCAGCACTGTGATACTGAACTAATTTCTAGATCCAGTCATTATGCTAACTTATGTACAAACACTATCTTTCCTTGTCTGAATCTGTGCAATTATGATTAAGATATACCCTAAGATTAAGCACAATGACACAGAGGAGGACTGCAAGATAGCTGGTGGACCAACCCCTTACATATTTCTCAATTAAATGAGGACTGGGTTATGAGGAGGCAGAATTAAACCTGGCTGAGAAACCATCCAAGGTCCTTTGAGGCTGATAGTATCAAACCACCCTAAGGAGGGCAGGTAACAGGTCATTACAAAGGCTCCTCAGGGAATTGCACATTAGAGCAGAATTTAATTCACCAAATCCTATTGATCTATCAATATCTAAAATTCACATAGAAGAGTCATTTGCTACTGGCCCATCACTGCACCAAGCTCTTCCCACCAGTCTCATTGAAAATGGAAAGCATCTAGAACCACACAAGATATCAATCAGGTCCTGTCCTCTCTGAGGGGAGATGTATCCCACCCCTTTAGTCTAATTTACATGAGATGAGTGCAGAATATTTTCATTATTATTATCTTTACTCTTATTTTGTAATGATGGTAGAGTGACAACCCTTAAGAACCAGAGCTTCATTTCTCCACTGGGCATCCTTCATCCTGTAAATTCTGTAGAAAGTTGAATGTGATTTCTGCTTCTGATTCTTGTGCACAAAAATATCCACTTTATCAGAGGAATTTTCTGCTTAAGATATGATTCAGCTTCAGAAATTCTCACTATGTCCACAAATGCAAAAAGGTTGAAAGCAACTACTTTGCTGTTGTGAAATATGAGTGTCACAGAAAAGTCAAAAGAGATGCTAATTGTTCTACTGTCAGATCTGGGCTTGAACAGCTTTCAGAAAACTAGCCAGAGGCAACAACCCAAACTACAGCAATAATATATAATATTGAATAGCCAGTTTCTAAGAGGGACGCATTCAGTTTTGGACACTGAATGGCACAGGAGGTGTTCTAGCCCTACCTAGCAGGCAAGTTTATGGTTTTGCCATGTCACTTCTGGTTTAGGCATATGTTGTGTCTGAGTAAATAGTAAATGTTGTAGTAGGTCCAACAAAGAACAAGGTCCTCACTCAGCAAGGCCATCCCAAAAGCAATGGGGTTTGGAACCACGCTGCATCAAAGAGCTTAGAGACAAAGCAAGTATTATCAGGGTCCTTACAGATCAAGGCATTGAGAGATTAAAGGCTTGATTCTTATATATACATATAAATGTATAACTATTCTGGCACTGTAAAGGGACCCTTAAGTGACATTCAGTTGTATGTTAAATCTGCTATTCAGAAAAACCAGCATCAAGAAATAAAACAAAAGGAGTGGTTTTATATTTTACCATTTCACAAATAAACAGAGAAAATTTGTGGCAAAACTTTTAATTGAGCGCAATCAAGTTCTTATTGAAGACCTGTATTTTCAGAGGTTATTTTTATTTCTTTTTCTGTAGAAGTCCCTTAAACAAATATATACTTTAGTAAAGACTAGAGCTGTTTCAGCTGGAAGTAGACTTCTTAAACGGTCTTTCTATAGAAGAATAATAGCACAACTCTCAGCATAAGTGGGGAAAAGAAAACATCTTCAGGAAATAGTTACAGCAAATTTATCACCTATAAAGCACTCGGTAGTTCAAATTAGACACACCTCATTTACAGATCTATGTTGATTTCATCTGTAAGGGCAAGAAACAAAGAAGAGGGAAAAAATCACGTAGCAATCACACAGTGTTTCCAGCAACCTTTGTAATACCTTTCTTTGCCAAGCAAAACCCACTTCAGTTCTGTGTCAGACCAAAAACAAAGCTATGCAACATGAATCAAGATTATGTTTTCATTTACAAAGGAGCTGGGGGCAAAGGAAGGTGGAGGGGAGAGAAAGAAGAAGGAGAACAGTTAAGAAGTATAGTTAATTAATGTAAGAATTTGACTGGATCAATCTACATGTTCATTTCAAGCCACTAAGCTTCAGGCTTCTGCACCTGGACTATTCAGGTTGCTTTCCGTGCTAACAAAACAGCAAAACTGATTCAACATAAACAGTGTTCCATATCACAGACAAATGACGTCAATTTAGGATTTATTTATACAATACAAGCCTAGATTAGAAGTAGCAGATGAGAAAAGGGACGAGAGAGGGTGAAGGGAAATCAAGAAAAAAAAAAAAAAAAAAAAGAGAGAGAGATCAAAGACCTTTTTCAACACAGAATCTAAAAATGTATGGCATGTTGAACACATTCTTAAGTCCTTCTGGAGAAAAAAAAAAAAAAAAAAAAAAAAAAAACTAAAGTGAGCACAATCCTTAATTACAATTCAAAATTTCACGTTGCTAAAGAATTGTCATAATAGTTGGTCTCGATTAAGAATTATTTTTTAAATCCTCCGTCAGCTTTCATGCAGTTGAGGTGTAGTTCAGAAGTCTGAACATTCAGAAAATTAAATATATTTAAATAGTATTTATACATAGCAGAAGAAAACAAGTAGGAACTTGACTAAGGATCTGCCATACCTGCCCAGGTCAGGTATCGGTTTTCCCTGGTATCACATCAGACGCCAACAGCTGTAGTGACAGAGCACAGGGAAAGCTTTGAGTGACTCATCTCAAAAATGATCTTCCACTATAAAGAGGTCTCCAAGGTTTCTGAGAATTTCTGCCAGGATGTCTAAACTGAAGGTAATTCCCACTGAGAAAACACTTTATTTAGAAGCTTCAGCCTCTTCCATGAAGAGCCCAACTTGAACTTAGTAGAGGGTCCTGGAACATTGGTGCTCTCTCCTCTCTCACAACCATGTTATTATTACAGCTTCTGGTCTTTGGTAGCAGCTTTAATGTGTATTATTGCACTGGGGGAAGTGTCTTCTAGCTAGGCAGTATAAAGGCAACCTGCAGTGGCAAGACTCAACTGAGACATCAGTCTTTCAAACATCTAAGGTTAGAAGACACAAATCTAAAAATCCAAACAAGCGGATTCCAGTGCCTCCCAACCATAGTGTAAGCTTTTGTTTCCACCCAGATGAGTTACTAACCCCTCATAAATTCAACAATAAGCATCAAATGGATTTCCTGGTGGCCTCCATCCAGTGAGCTCAGATTCATGACAACAGGACAACAACCTCTAGCTCATTGAGCAGGAAAAACCTTATGGCCTGCATTTCCCCCTTTCTCCCGATATGGAAAGTGGTGAGATCCTTTGATGGGATAGAAGTCCTGCATAAAGTTAAATCAGCAGAAAATCAGAACCAAGCATTGTACTCAAGAACCACCTTTCATACCAAAGGATTCACATATCTCTTATGAATTTATTTAAGGAGGATGTGAAGACAGCATGTAAATACCACCAAGGGAGAATTGAATTCAAGAGAAGATGAATCCAGAGCACTATCATTAATATAACCTATTAGAAATTGTGTTTTACAACTTATTTCTACATCAGAAAGTGATATGGAGCAATAGGAGCCATTCCTTGGTGTAAAGCAGGTGATGCTTTGTTCCTCTACTTGTGTTATCTGTGAGTCAGGTGAGAAGTTCAGTCTGTGTCAACAAAACCACAGGGAGTAGACCACAGCATGCATAACAGGCAATATGGTGACTAGAGCATCAGCCATGCACATATCTTTAAAGGTGGGTGAAGCAATGGGTCAGAAGGGAGAAAATGTGTTCCAAATCAGAACCTCTACTTAAAATGCATGTAGATGCTGATTCAGGGTCCCATAAAGATATAGGAATGGAAGGAGGTTCAGAAGGATATTTCATCCACCCCCTTACCATATCTCCAAGATTACTAGTTGAACATATTCTTATGCCTCCAAGGATTGTTTTCTGAGGATTTTTGTTTGTTTGTTTGTTTTGTCTCTAATACTTTTAACACTTTTCTTTTTACCAAGTTACCTACTAAGACATAATGGGATCAGATTCCAAAGAAATCTGTCTTCAAGTACCACGTAGGCAAACAGATTCAACAAAGTAAAATGCAGGAACACAGAAACTACCTTATGATGGTCAAAACAGCAGGCCAAGTAGTCTCTTCCAGGGCAAAGTATAGGTACATGTATACATATTTTTATGCAGCTACCCAGGTATAGCTATACTTTTACACATATACACAGACACATCACTGCTGAGAAGTTGTGGGGACTTACAAGGTGTTTGAGAGGATGAGATCATTCTGAGATGTAATGTTTCTCTCTGAAAGTTCAAACAGAGTGAAATCCTACAAGGTACTGCTCTGATCTGCATTTCATGAGGGAGAATCACAGCATATCCTAAAGATGATGTTTTGTATTTATAAAATTCATCAACTCACTATTAAAAACAAAATAATAATAATAATAATAATAATAATAATAATAATAATAATAATAATAATAATAATAATAATAATAATAAAATCCATTGTTAAACATAGTAAGTTAATAAATAAGTAAATAAAATGAAGATTATTAAGTGGTTAATTTCCAACTTTTTGCGCCAATAAGTGCCTGAAAACCCACTTCTTTCTGGCTATCCCAAATAGTTGTCTAGACAACCAACACCTGCTCTTAATTAATGACTAATATCCCCAACCGGAAACAGTGCTGCCGTATAACACAGACATGACCTCTGATCATCTCCTTCTACTAGCAAATGTTCAAAACAGCTGAAGACAGCCAAGCCCAGTTCACACTGCCCACCTGCTGTGGCAGCTACTGGAGCCTGGACTGCTCTGCCATGCTGAGTTCCCTAGGGTTTTTGTTTTGTTTTTTCTGCTGTGCTGTGTGCAGTGACCTGAATTTGCACAAACTCAGCATTCACACACTGACAAAGTTGGAAGGAAAGAGGAAAAAAATATGCAGGGTGCTTGCTGTGTGTTTCCTTTCCAGAGAAAAACATCACTCCTGCATTCCAGTAGTGCAGCTGACAGTAGCTTGTCTATTAATCCCCTAGGACTGTCTATTAATCCCCTGGCCCTTGATTTGTAGTGGTCTACTAGGAGAGATCAGCATCTCCCTCCAGGGACCATCTCCAAAAAGCCAGTGCAATATTTATTTTTAATCCAACCATCCACCAGCAACCCAACAATCCAGGAGAACCCTGATGTTTAAAGTCTGGGTGAATCTCATTGTCATACCGGGAGGCAAAGCACCTCCAACTGGAAATATGAACAACAGCATTGATCACCTCCAGTTAAGCTTGTCCTTTCAGCTCCAGTCACAGAAGTATAAAAATAAACTCATCTCTGCCTAACCATTATGTAGAGGAAAGAGTATAGACCACTGACCTGCCTCCACTGAGACAAACTTGAAATTGTTGCTGCTGATGGCTGGGTGATATTTCTTTCCTAAAGAAAAAGGAAAAATCTTATTTTGTGGAGGTGTAACACATAAAGCACAGCCAATGGTAATCTTTCTTCTTGAAAAAATAGGTCAAATATAAGATTTCAATGTCAGAGAGCCCCAGGTGACATTTTTAATCTAATACACTATTCATTTATTCTCAGTTTAAAACATTAGCTTCAAGTCTATTTAATTAGCACTGAATACTAGTAACTAATAAGACACAACTTTCATGGAGGGAGCTACTACTTCAAAGTTTTACTTTTACTTTACATTCGCTACCTATACTAGAGTATAAACACTGATGTAGCCCAAAGGTCATGACAAAGCTTTTCCTGGGTCTGTCTAAGGAAGACTTCGCTTCTTACTGTGATATCCAAATTAAAGAAAACAGTGACTCTGACATATGGTCCATCACTGACAGATACTGGCTTCCCATGCTATCCCCTCACTGCTGTGATAATCATTCCATGGGGCAATGAGTATATGGTTCAAATATCATCCTGGTTTATCTTCCCCAAACTGTGCATCCCGTCTTTGACATTAGTGGCCTAGGCCTATTCAAACCAGACCATGCTACACATCCTCTGGCATCTTCCAGTGGTATGAGTAGGGAAGTGACAAATGATTACCCAAAAAAAAAGGGGGGATGGCTAGTCAGAGGGCTGGCTAGTGCCTGTCAAGAGCAAAACTCTGTTCACTGAGGAGAAAGTACATAACTGAATGACGAGAGATGGGCTAAAAATTGAAATAATAATAATAATAATAATAATAATTAAAAAAAATGAACGGAAAGCTTGCACTTCGTTCCCATTGCCAAATGGATTTCCTTCCAGGTTCTCCACTCCTTTCACATCAAGATGAAAATCTTGATGTGAAAGAGCAATATCTTCACATGCATACACATGTGTTTGCACATGTATGTCATATATGTATGCATGTCATTTCTAGATTCATGCTGTGAACAAAACATAAGATTAAATGACTGGTTAACAGCCTGGGGAAAGGACAGTTTTTACTCTTGCTGTTAAACTTGGGCTGAAGACGAAAGATGAGATGGGAAGGGAAAAAGAGGAAAGCAGAGGAATTTGTGGGATTTGTCCAAGTTCATCCACATATTAAACAAGGGCAAACACGGAGTGACAGGGAGATAACACTGAGCAGGCCTCCACCATTTTGCAAAACGTCACCTATAATTTCAGGGGGTAGAAACTCAAAGCTGACAGATTTTTGGAGCCAGCTGCAGTGCTGTCATGGGGGTGGGGAGAGGAAGAGGAGGGGGGTGACTGGGAGGGGGCAGAGCTTGCGGAGAGGAGAGAGAGGCGAGTAGCACTGAGGTCACCGGCAAGGTGTCAGCAGCAGCTCATGTTCTGTGGCCTCTGCTTACAGGCACAGCAAATGCCGCTGCTCAGCTTGGATGCACTCAGAGAAGGAGCACTTCATAAACGCTGCACTCAACCACAGCAGAGCTGGGAAAATCCAACCAGTTCGTCTCCTCCGGGGTGGCTGCTTGCGCTGCATTACCTGACGTTTTCCCCAACCCAGCTTTGCATTACTCAAGTGCCAGAGGTTACATTAAGGAGGTGTGAACATCATGAGTCTGGAGGGGAGCCAAAGCTCACGAAGGTCAAGAGAGGATTATTTCCACCGACTTCAACTGGACTTTCAATCTGTTCTGTGTACAGACTGAGACTTTTCCTGCATACGCTTAAGAAAATAAGGTGACATGCCGTGTAATTAGTGGGACCACCTCATGGGCTTGCTTGGGATTCCTCTCTAATGTCAAGTTTGCTAAATTCACCTGGGAACATTCCTGTAGGGAGAATGCAAAATGCATCTTCTAGCAGGTGTCTGTTGTCTTAGAAGAAAAAGTGGCCAGGAGAAGCTCAATGGCATGAAGATGTTCAAAATATGAAGACAACATGCAGAATTAGGGCTGGAAAAGTAATACAGCGGTTAGCAAAAGCTGAGATCAGTTACCTGCTTTGGAGATGTTTTCAGCCATCAAGGACAGACAGCTCAGACAGCCAAACCTCTGAGTCACTGCACTTTCATTTATGAATACAGAACCAAAGCAATCTAGGGGCACTGGAAGGATATAGGCACTGAAATCAGTGAGGCAGTTCAATGTTGTGATTGAGAAGGAGTTGCTCCATTAGCTTGGTAGGTCCTCATCTCATTTAACGGCCTTTGCAGATCTCACCCAACGTGCTGAAATGCATCTTCAGCTTTGCCATCAACCTTCAAATAAATTACCATGGAGAGGTGTTTAGAGACCCCATAGTTAGCAATGTGTTTTGAAAAAAGTGCTAAAGAATGATGAAGAGTTGGTGAAATTTTATGTTACAAATATTTTTACAGCTTTAGCCCTATTTTTAGCTAACAAATCATCTATGGACCAATTATAATTTCCTTCACACATATTAAGTACACATAAGAATTTGCCAAACACACTGGTGCTAACCCCAAACATTCAAAAAACATGAGTCAGCCCTCTGCCTTTTCCCTCCCATCCCAGGCATATTATCGAATTAAAATCCATCAGACTTTTACAAAAATAAATGTAGGCTCATTTGCCTTCTAGTACTGGAAAATTTTCCATTTTGACTTTTTAAGGTTTCTTTCTGCACTTCTGAGGATTATTACTTTATTTTCTTTTTAAAACAAACCTGAATTTCTTCATAATTACTGGTCTTTCAGTGTGAGGGATGCATAAAAAAAATCCTCCAGATACAGCAAAGTCTGAGACAAAAGCACATACAATGCTTGGATTTGCAGATTTCAGTTGAGCTCATTTGGTCTTAGCTGGTTTTCCTTCATTATTTGGAATATGCAAGTAAGCAAATACTGTGATTACTGCTTCCTCTTCCCAACTGGGATGGCAGTCAGATTGAGGTCACGGTCTTACCCTCATAAGTGTATGCTGGAGCAATTTGGAGGCTTTCAGTCTTTCCAGAAGGAGTCATTCTGCCTTCATCCAAGTTGGCCATGATGATTATGGACCTTAATTCATTTGCCTAAACATAGGCATCCAGTGCTCTTTGAGATGCTCTCAGGGATTCCAGCTGATCTCCAGCATTTAGAGAACCATAAGTATTCTACTAACATTTCTATTATCTATGAGGTTCATGTGGATGTCTCAGCCTTCCAAGAGGCTCAAATGACACTAGACATTTATATTTAGAGAACTTTGTGCCCTTGCTCCAGTGCAGAGAGGACCATGAAATGTCTCTGAAGATGGCTTAACCAAATTAGTACTTCTCATTACAATTAATTTCTGGTCAAGTCATCACAATTTGGCTGATAGCAAGACAATCTACTAAACCATTCACAATCCAATGTCTTTGCCCAATGTCTCCAGAAAAATGTGGTTGCTGGAGTGGTGTTTTAGCTAAATAATCATCTCTATTTAAATCTGTGAAACTTTTGCAGCAGAACTGTCTCTCTCTCTCCCAAATATCAAAACAAAGGAGACATGCCTCTCTTGTTGTGAAAATGCTTCCAAGCCCCTTCAGACAAATCTGGGAGCTTTCCTCAGCTGCTGCCAATATAGCTGTGTTAGACAATTACGTAAACCATAAGATTCTAAGCAGAGAAACTGTGGTTGGATGTAGTGATTAAATTAAATGAATTAAATAATTGCTCACAAATATATCTCTGGTGAAGATGGGAAGTGAATATTCCTGTGGCAGAGATCAGAAAGCCATCTTGTTCAAAGCAGCAAAGAGGTATATGTTTTATCTGGCATATGGTGAGGTGGTCACTGCACCAAGCCTGTTAGAGTTTGAGAAGCATCTGGACTGTTCACTTAGCCGTGTGGTCTAAAATTTTGGGTAGACCTATGTGGTGCCAGGAGTTGGACTCGATGATCCTTATGGGTCCCTTCCAACTCAGGATATTCTACGATTCTATGATTATGTTAAAATAAGAGAATGTTATTTTAGCAGTAAATATGCCTGATATGGGCAGTGGATAGATAAATTAGATAAGTTAGTAGTAATATGAGACTTAGTAATAAAATGAGACTAAATTTACAGAAGTTGTGTAGAGGCTTGACACTGATTTTCAGGTCACAATTTAAATATGTGTTTAACCATCTAGCTTTCTGCATGGCTGATACTTTAGAACAACATGTCTGGCGTTCTTTGCACTTCAGGTCTTTCTTTCTCATCTTATGGAACAGAGCCACAGAAGTGCGCAGCACGTATAAGATCATCTGCAAAGAGCTTCTTTTTGGACCAGTGCTCATTACTGTGCACTGTGGCAGACACTGAAGTAAATCCCTCCTGGCCTGTGTGGTTTTGTGTGAATCCAGGAAAAAAAAAATAATAAAAAAAAATCACCAGATCAGCTTTCTAAGCAGTGACTTTCCTTGTGCTTTCCTAGAAACCCTGCACTGCTTTTCCCATCTCTTGCCAAGCTGTATAGAATTGGATGAACATAATTTTTATTTTTTCTTCTTCTGTGTGAGTTAACACCAATGTGAGTAAGTTTGTTATTGTAACTTAACCCTCTATTGTAAAGTGTATTTAAAGCACCTGGCTTTGCATTTTGAATGAAACCGTAACAACCTCTACTTTGCTGAAAATGTAGCTGCTCTTTATTTGACTTGCAGGGTTTGTAGATCAGCTGCAATGGATTAGGGTTAACAGAGTCTCTGGTGAGGAGAGAGCAGCTGGAGGTAAAAATGGACTTAAAAAATCCCTGAGATATTCAGAGACACTAATATCTGAGAGTCTCCAAATTCTACCTTTCCTGATGCAAAAGAGGCCCCACTTGCCTGTTGGTTTTTTTTTTTTGTTTGTTTGTTTGTTTATTTGTTTGATTTGCTCTTTTTCCTTTGAACAGGATTATAGAGGCATTTAATGAAATTGATCCTGGAGGCCAGGGAGTGAATGGGTGTCTGTAGGCTGCCTTCACTTTAAAGGGAGAACTGAATAACTAGCACAGACTTAAATAATTTTCAGACATCTGATATTAAGATGAGAGAAATCCCACCCCCACATCTACTGACTGGGAACTGTGCCCTGCAGACACTTTTAATGGCTAATGTGGCTGCACGTACCCTAAAGTTCCAGGAATGCTTTTTGCTGGGTTATTTGTTGATTTTATGGATGTAAACAAAATCAGAGGGGGGAAAAAAGTAAAGGAATAATAACAACAATAAAGCTAGATCAGATGAGAAACAGCTGAACATCCAGCTTAAAAGAAACCCCTAAAGGAGTCATCTGCAAAGTCATCCTGAAGATGTGGCAGCCTTGTAGCTCTGGTACAAGAAGGTCAGGGTGTCAAGCTGAGTCAGGGAAGTTAGAAAAATCACTGAGTAACAGTCATTAAGGGCACACATCATACTAAGTCTAGTAAAGAGTTCTATATTCTGATCTGTCCCCTGAGAAAAGCCCATGATCAGGAAAAGGGAAATCATACACTTCAAAGTTTTTCATTGGAAAATTGGTTATATCAGAATCTAGAGTGTCCAAAGACTAATTAAATACTTTGGAGTTTAATGTAATTATTACTTTATTATTTATTTAATTATTATACTTTAATTGTTGTTTATTTATTGTAGTTATTTCTTCAATGTTAAAATAGGCTTTCTGTGAAAAACCTGTCTTTCAAATCAGAGGCAATATTTTAAAATAAAGGATATAACTCACTGTCTATCATCTATCTTCCATGTCATCTTTAATCATCAGAATAATCATTTGAAAAAGTCTGACAAAGATTCACCCTATCTGAAGGTTTATAGGTTCTTGTGAAATCATTTGGATGATTTGCCCTCTAAACATGCTTATTTAGTGTCAGCTACACCAAAAAATAAATAAATAAATAAATCAAATTGAAATGTCCAATTTTGACAAGATATCAAATTTTAGATTGCTAATGTTGGTTGAACTGAGCCCTAGTCTTTCCTTTCTATCACCCTTCAGTTCCCAAGTGCAAAATTATCATCCTAGGCACACTTAAGATGGTGTACTGAAAGGGTGCAAGCCATAAAAATAATGCAGTGCCAGTGGAGACCTCAAAAATACTTTTTTGAGCAGCCAGGCTTAAGCAGTGTTGTCTTCTGTGTTTTCTCTTTGAGCTTGGAGCCTGATTTAGCTTTAGATCATTCTGCTTACAGAGGTCCATCCTTATTTCATTCTGTCTATATAGGGAATAATACCCCATTCAAATGAAAGCCTAAACTCAGAGGAACAGGGCTGTTCTTTAGAGCATTGGGTCATTTTGAAACCAGTGGCTTTTTCGGTGGTTGAATGTGTCTGCTAGCCAGAAAAGGAACACTGTCAGATTGATGTTATCATTTGTCACAGGGTTGGAGAAGAAAACCAAAATGCCGTCCTGTTTGATTCATGAAAGGTTGTCCTTCACGAGAGATGTTAAAGATAGTTCATTGCCTTTGGTTAACCATGGAGATTGTGGTGAAAGCTCATCTCACCCTCCTCATTAGCAGTGAGTTTTCCCCATCACTGCTTTAAGCAAGAGGTTGGAGAAGATAATATACAATCCCCTATGACCTGAATTTTCCTGTGATCTGGTATGGCTTTCAGGGGAAGTTTTGTCTTGGAAATGGGGAGGAAAGGTGAAGAGCACATTTCCACCACCATAGCAGACAGAGCGCCCCACATGTAATGATTTGTCAGGGAGCCTGACAAAAGGAGCAAGCTCCAACGAGCATTACAGCAAAGCTCAGCTTGGCTAGACTGAACCCTGAGGGAACAAACTCCACCGTGATTCCTGCAAGGGACAACTGTGCATGAATGTCAGTCCACTCAGCATTTGAGCCATGTTGCTGTGACCATCTGATTCCACCTCTAACTTTATAACCCTTGTTCAGCCTCAAAGCTTTCCAGTTGTGTCTGCACCACCATTCCTGACCTTCACTGTGTCAAAATTTTTCCTGCACTCTATCACTCCATATCTGAGATGCAAACCTCAACCACAGCATGGTCCCCTGCTTAAAATTTATCAAGAGAACATATGGTAGACCTGTTTTATATATATATATTTGGCCACCAGCAATAACCTCAAAACTTTACCACATGTTAACATGAGACAGCACTCATTTTCTGAAACCATCTTTCCTGTCCTTATTTAGAGAGCTATATTTTGCAGTTGGCTGTTTGCTTTCTTGGTCAGCACTTGAGTGATCAGGTCACTTACACCATCAGGCTCATACTGCAAGCAGTCAGGCACCCATCTATTTCCCTTGGCTGTAAAACTATTTGCACGTTGTCAATCAGAGATGCTCAATCTCTTTATAGAACCAAAGGTGCTGTGAATGGTGCTGACAAATTTTAGTTATGCACTGACCCTTAAAAACTCAAACGGAACAGGAAGAAGGAGATTTTTTCTAAAGTCTCGGGGACTGTGTGCATGTGACTGCAACCTAAAGACCCTTTAGAAGCGTCTGGACTGTGAATAACCCAGAGGAAAGGACTTTTCCTGCAAGGACATGGGGGACAGGTGATCTCTCTGTGAACCCCTATTTGTAAATGAAGAAAAACATCTGCTGGCAGATCTGAAATTCTCCATTCCAGAAGCTCAGTTCCAGTTTTGTTCCAGTTTAAAGTCCAATAAGCTCCGGAGATCAAAACTCATTCAAAGTTTTCTGGTGTATTTATTATGAAAAAAAAAAAAAAGGCCACCTCTGGCCAACAAAGGGTCATGCTATAGTTCCCATCAGAGACTCATTTCTGCTATTCACAGTGGCCTCAGCAGTATCTCAGCTCTTTACAGACAGTACAGAAACTAAATATACCCTCTTAAAACCCATGAAACATAAATATATATACTCTTTAAAATATATATATATAATATAAATATAAAATAAAATATATAAATATAAAATATATAAATATGAATTTATAAATGTAAAATATTCTCACTGAATATTCTCTCTTCACTTCTGTTTATCCAGTTCTTTTCCCTCATCCATTAAGGGTTCACTTAAGGCAACTTTTTTCCTTTGTCCTCAACATATTTCCTGCCATTCTTGCACCAATTTGTCAACCAGACAGAAATTTATTTCACCTTAAAATATCGTAATGTTTTAACAAAAAAATGAAAATGTCATTAATCATCATTCCTACAAATGTGTGGTCCTGCAGACAGCTTCCCTTTGTCACCAATAAGGAATTGTCTAGGTTCACTATCATGGTTAAGCAGTGAACTTGCTTCATGATTAAGGGTTCAAACTACAAGACGAGAAGACAGATAGACAGATAGATAGACAGACACTCTGTTTACAGAAAGGATCACAGCACTATCATCTTCTGCCAGAAACTCATGAGGCTAACATGTTCCAAATAATGCTGAGCAAAACTCTACAAAATAAGAAGTAACAATGACCACAAATATGCCGGCATTTTAAAATCTAAATGAGTTGGCATTGCCTGGCTGTATACTGCTTGGAAAAGAACAGCCAAATCTATACAATTGCAGCGAGGCACCCTTGTGCTCTCTGTAAAGGGGTGAATTTGCCAGTCATCTCCTTGCATCCATTAAATGCTGCAGAAAGACATTTGAAAATGTGATCTTCCTTCCACAATGCCACTTGCAAAAGGTGTGCATGTCACTTCAACTAATATAAACCACTGCTGTGTGACCCAGGCACCCAAACAAAGCAGTTCTTCTGTCAGGATTGTTGAACCCCATATAAGTACTTACAGAACTGTACTGAGAGAGACTGAGAGAGGGCATCCATTCAAGAAAATCATAATCTCTAAAGAGAGAAAGTAATGAAAGGTAGCCAGTAGGTTATGCACCACAAAGTGTTTTCCTAGATCTTCTCTGGCCTTGTCTTTATATACAAAGAGGTGGAGATTGGAAAAAAAGATAAATAAAGAAGTGCCACTCCTCTTGTGCATGTATTTCTGAGTCTGACAACAAGGACATGAAGGATGGCAGTTCTACAAACAGATGAGGATTGCTCTTTTTTCAGTGAGGATGTTTGTACATTAAGAACCAAAGGTCATATACCAGCCCCCAGCTACAGCATATAATGTAGACATAGCCATCATACACTCAGAAGAGTGATTTCCTGCCCTTTTAGTTCTCCATCATGCTTAGAATTTGGATTTCAAGTTGACTCCCCAAAATAACGTCAAAGGCCTTGATTAGATATCTCTTCAGAAAATCCATTACAAGGTGATCATATGGTATTTCTGCAACCATTTCAACACTGTAAGAAGCACCCAACTCTCTGTTTTCTGGCTAGGGAGTAGGAAGACTCACCAATGCTTTCTGATTCCAAACTACAAAGTCTACAGTTGATATCTACAGTGGGAGGGCCAAAATCAGAGAAATTACATGGGCCACCACAGTAATATGACAAGGTAGCAATGCTCAGACTGAACTTAGATCTCTGCTAAGCTCTAAGTTGCAGTACTTCTACCAGTACTGGAACCCATGAAGAGACAGCAGGAATTTGGTGAACTCAAACATTTGACATCAGTCTGTGTTCATATATTTCCATGAGGGATGAAACTGAAACTGCAGTCTCCACTGTGGCTCATATGCCTCTTACTTGATTTGGGCAATGGGCATTTTAATAGTGACTAATATTTTTTCTTCTTTTGCTTCCTGTCTCTTAACCTCAAGAGCATCAACCTTTTTATTCACCACTTGCTTGTGAAAAGAGCTGAAAAGCCATTTGTGCTAGATAACATACTTCGGATTGTTTGATACTACAGTGCTGTGTTTCCAATTAGGTTTCCTTGCTTTTATCTTCTTTGTGTAATCTGTTCAGTCCCTCCCACTAATTAGAACCTTATTTGCCTTTTTTCCCCTTTAAACAGTGTTTATCCTTCGCATTGTTCCTTGCATCTCTGCTTAGCAAGATTGACTTCTGTTATCTTTGTTTTTTAAATATATGTTTAGATTTTATTGGCACAGACGCTTGTTAAAGCTATCCAACTATTCATTACAGACCTCATGATTTTCCATAGTAAATTTTCTAGACAATCAGCTCTGATCAACATTATTTTTTGTCTCTTTCTACATTCTTTCAGAGAGTTATGTTTTATGAAAAGCACAATACTTCAGATTATTACCTTTCATACATAACATTCCCTCAGAACCAGTGGATATCTGATGATATTCTGATGGCTAGACCTCCAGATGTTTTATTTTATTTATCATACTTGGCTTGTTTTCTAGGACCAAGTCCAGAACAGCCTCTAATCTCAAGGGTTGCTCAACAAATTCTTTGAGGGACTGTGGAAAGATATTAAGGGGAAAAAACATCTTTCCACAACAAATAATTCTGCAAATCCTAGTGTTGTCTTTACATAATTAAAATATATGTTGATCAATAATGACCTTGTAACTGGATTAATAAGGAATTTTAAAATGTACTTTGGGGAGGGCATGGAAACTCTCATGCTTTAGAGAATAAACTGATCTCTTACTAATGCAAGTCAAGAAGAAACTTTCCAAGGACAGCTTTTCTTAATTGCTGATTGGAAGTGTCTTGTGCCTTTATATTTTATTTTATTTATTTATTTATTTATTTATTTATTTATTTTCAGGAGTAGATGGCACTTGCCATTGCTTGAGATTCAGAACAAGTTCTGGATCATTACTTTGGGTCAGGGTAGCAGCCTCTGTGACCAGAAAACAAACAGAACAAAGATGAGAAAAACTAAGTGGGTGACATGCCCTCCTGCCCACAAGAAGCCTGACAAGGCTCAGAGCTGAAGAGCACCTTTTTGGAAGGACAGACCACATCCACCCAAACTAAGGGGCATGCCTGGAATTAAACAAAGAAATAGATAAAGCAAAGGTCAAGAAGCCCAAAAATAGTCAGAAGGAATGAGCTATTGAGATTGAAATTAATAATTTCAGTTTAGTGAGTAAAGATATTAACATATTTTATTTATTAATAGGCAAGGGGCATAATTCCACAATAAAATCATCTCTGGGAAGTTGACATTTTCATTCCTTACAATTTTGTCTGCAGTTTCAGCCTGGCTTTGGTTTCCAACATAGACAGATGATCAAACTCAGAAGCTGAGATTTAAGCATGTATAGTCAGGTTCCCACATGCAGCAACGTCAAGCTTTTCTATACCAGATAATTCAGACACCCCTACACAACTAGCAGAGGAATATGGGAACATAGTTCTTTAGTTATTCTAAGTGGACCTATATTGCTTAGCAATGCTTAACATCATCCCATTCTCCTGAGCTAATGATTCCTTTGCTATGGGCTGTGAACCTTTCCAGACTGCACCTCTCCTTACCCTGCCCACCAGAGTGCCCGAAGAGAGTATCTCAGTCAGTCCAGGGCTAGGAAGGACATCTGTGGTGGAGGGGTTAGTTCTGAGTTAGCAGTTTTACAGCCCCAATTCAAAGGGAAAGGCAAAGGGGTCTCATAACTCCCACTGATGTCACTGCTGTCATCAGTATGAGATAAAAGCTCCTCTGAACAGGTCCCATAGTCCAGTCGAGTTCAGAGCAAAGAAAGAGAAAAAGATATTTCCTACTTTAGTTTCACCCTAGTATTGTGTTAAACTTCAGCTTTCATAAGACCTTTAAGTTATTAAAACAAATAGGAAGTTTTGCAGCAACATGTCTTGATCAGCAGAATGGCAATTTGCTATTCTGTTCAATCCTGTTTACACAACATTTTGTCAGAAGAAGCAAATGACATTTTACTTTTCCAGTTCCTAATACAGTCTTTTCCTAGGCTCTGTTAAGTGAGTATTTTTCTTATTTGTCTGTCCTTCTGCTCTGTTTCCTTCAGTAAGTGATGAGTAAGTGGAAATCACAAGTCTGCTGTCACATGTGGTCACCCACATGTAGATGGAGCTTCAACTGAAGCCGTAAGGCATGAAAATGCAATGAGCTAACACCATAATAAAGCACACAGTCTAACATTGTCAAGTCGCTCTGAAATTCTCATCAGGCTTTACATCACTGATTTCTTTTAGCCAGGAGCTCCAAAATCAGCAGTGTTCCTGGGAAAGGCAGTGATAGGACAAACTAGAAAGAACCAATAAGAATTTTTTAGAGATTTCAAGGAAGTGTTGAGACTTTTTTTTTTTTTTCCTAAGGCTTCCCCAAACAAAAATGTCATGTAAATCTCTCATTTCTTTCAAATCAGGTTCCAAACTGACAAGCTGAAATTCAGAACACTGACAATAAAAAAAGTAGGAAATTTGAGGATTTCCCACCCCACCCCACTTTCAACAGTTTCCAAACCTTGTTACTACGATGACCTGCAAGGGCTCTTTATTTTTACAGCTGCTGCATACCTAGTTCTCCTCGCTGGAAGACACACACACAGCTCCAGTGATTCTAATCTTTTCATTCCAGGAAAGGAACCAGCTGTAAATCCACTGAAGCAAGATCAGGATACAGCACCAGGCCTGTCGTTCTGGCCTCCCACTGGTTAAGACTTCCCTTGAACCACTCTCACACTCAGTTGTTCTGCCACGAGTCCAGGAGCCTCTGGTTTAAGAATCCCTTCCCATCCTGATATCTCCAGTTCCAAACTCAGTAGACATCTGACCATTTCATGATCTGGGGAGATACCCCTTCAAAACTGACTCAGGTTTGGGGGGCCCAGTTCCTCCCATCTTGAAAGCACCCAAGAAAAGTGATATATTTGTATCCCTTCCTAATTTTTCATCAGTGGTGGGAATAATGTTATCCCAAGCACACTCCCTGTCCCTGGGTGATGTTAATGCATCCATCATGACAATGTTGTAGCACTTGATGGCACAGCTCCTTCCCTCTTTTACTCCAAGCAGGGCTGCCACTATCCCTATGGACATCACATCAGTTCTCCACTGTATGGTTAGCTATAGGAGCAACAAAAATCTTGGCACTATTTAAAGAAAAAAATCAGATCAGTGATTGTGGAGAATGACCATTTCCCTGTACCCGTGGAAAACTGCTCTCACGTGGTGGTGAGAGCATCACCTCTGGGATGGGACTTTCCCAAATTTTCACAGTAACCTGGTGCTGTGTATACAAACACTCACAATGACTGCCTAGCAACATCTCCTGCCAATCCAGGCAGTGGCAGAGTGAACAAAAATATGTGCCATGCTCTCCAGCTATTCCTGCAGTGAAAATATATCATCAAGGAACAGAAAAACTTGCATTGGTTTGATGGGGATGGGGTGGAACAGGACCTACCACCCCTCTATCCATAGCACTAACACAAGTCTGTCTTTGTCTTCTTGGCCTTGGCAAAACTTATTTGTTCACCAGTGAGCCTCATGTCCCCAGTGAAAGCTCGACAAATGTAGTACTGTGCAAAAGGATGGGGAGGAAGAGGCAGTTCTTCAGCAGAATCCAGCAGCAATTTCTACAGCCAACAGGTCAAGAGACCCACAGGATTTTTCCAGATGTGTGCTGTTCTTTCATATTCTGTCTTAACCAGGGGGTGGCCCAGCAAAGGGGAATACAGGATTTGGCATGGAAGGACTCTACTGCTCTCAGGGACAGGGAATGAATAGGTCCTGAAAGCAAGGGCCCCACAGAAGCCCCGTGACCTTCTGGAGGGTGTTCTTCAGCACTGCTCAACCTATGAGAGGGCAAGCAGCCCTGAAGGCTGGCCATGGCTTAGCTCAGGCTTACCCTTTTGAGACACTCAGTCATGGTTGATTTTGGTGGTAGTTTTGGAGCTGGGGGTGTCTACACAGTGAGGAACAGTCCAGAGGGGTGAGCCAGTATGTCCATACAATACTGCCCTTTGCTATGCAAAGATATGCAAATTTATTGAGTCCAGTCTAAAATCCTACTGG